AATTCGTTCGACGCCGACGCCGACGCTGTCCGCGCTGTAAGTTATGGCGCGAAACCGCGCAGGAAATGTGATTCTCGCGACCGAATCGAGAAAGGCAGCGAGTGTCGTACATCAATTTGTGCCGAACCGTTCGCGAACTCTGGAACTAGCTCTGGAGCTCTTCGCGCGAACTTTAATTCGAACTACAGTCGAACTTTTCGGATCAGCGATACACGCAATTCGATTAGCGTTGCTCGGAACGCAAGGAAATTGTTAAGGATGCGCTTCGGATCGTGAATAGTCTACCGTTAGATTTCGATCGGGACGTTAAAGTGTTGAAAAGGTCCAATTATCGGACGTCGTCGAACGAAGCGGCTCCTCTCACGAGCCGTCAATCTATCGCTGGAGCGCGAACGACGCGACGTAACGAGCGGAAAGGGCAAAAGGACCAGCGGTTGGGCGTCCTGGAGCTAGCATTCAGAGGGGCAGGGGGCTTCGTCGACGATGTTGCCGGTCGAACGGCCGTCGACCGCCGATACGACCGCAACGACGTTCGAGGAGGACGACGTCGACGACAATAGCCTCGTGCTCGATGAAGCAACGGTGACAGCGATGGCGAGCCCGACGCCGACAGTGACGGCAACGACAATGCCGATGACGCTCATCAACGGGGCGCCATCTCCTGTGAATGGTCAGCATGGTCGAGCGTCGCGGCGCTCACCTCGCCCAAATTGATTTCGTCGCTCTATAGTCGATAGTCGATGGGATTACCGAGATCTGAGGAATTCGTCGATTTTCTCGGAAGAGTCCGAGTCGAGTTCCATTCACCTTGCGTTGCCGTATTTACTGCTTCTTCATATATTTCTATGTACTTTTGTCTCTCTCGGGCGTGACTGATTTTTCTGTCGCGACAAGTTCAACTACATAGGTTTGTTAAGAATTCGAAAAAAGCTAGACGATCGTTTTTCGAACCGCTCCATTTTTATCTGAGAATTTTTTACAAGTGTGTCCATTACGCGAATCGCTCGATACAGGTTCGTATCGAGCATCGAGTAATTTCAATACCGCGAGAGCTTATTACCGAGCACCCATTACTGGGGCCGTTATTATCGGACACTCTGCGCAATATCCGGCAGCGATAATTATAGATACATCAGATATTCGTAACGAACAATGCGACGCGGACGTACGAGTTATCGACTGCCATTCGCTGGATCCTGGCTAGATGTGTGCAGTAGCGTCGGATCGTCCCTAGTCAGACTCGTTATCGCGATAAACCGTGATCGTTGGTCTTTATCGGGATTTCTATTCGACGACGCTTCGATCTGAAATAGAGTCTATTAATTCGCACTCGTTTTCTCGTACAACCCGTTCAACTTTACTCGTCGTTCCGCTAACGACGGGTCACTATTCTCAGGACGGTGATTCGAGAACTTTGGTAATATCGAACGTCGCTAGTCAGATTCGTAACCACGATAAATCGCGTTGCGTGTCTTTACAGAGACTTTTTACTCCAGCTATAATACTTGTCATCATCGGACAATGGCGCATCGAATTCCATAAGCCGGCGGTGGTTTATCGCGACCGACCGCGTAATGTTTCGCGATCAAATATTAACGAGCTGTTATCGACGACGAGGTGATATTTTATTTAGTTCGCATGCTCGGTTTGCTTGTTCCATCGGCGTTGAACCGAACGAATTTTTCCCGGTTCGTAAAACGACGCCAATCGCATTAGCGACCGTCAGCGGCCGTCGTCTCGAAAGTATCACCTCTCGACGGTAATAGATTAGCGAGTCGCGCGACAGCAGCGGCCGCGATAACGGATACGAGACAAACACGTGTAACTCTCTTTCGTTTCCGATGCGGTATTCTTCTTGGCAGATTGGGGACAACAGGCTATCGCTTTAATGGTTCGTCAAGTTTCACTTGGGAAACAATTGTCGGAGACGGACTTTCCGATGATCGTGAAAAAATAAACCAGGTATACACGGTGTAATCGATCCAATCTTCGATACCAATTCCGAGCGTTGATCGAATAAGTCTGTTATCGACGTTGCGCGAACTAACGCTTCTGAAAATTTCCAAATTTTTGGGTGGAATTATCGACGCGTCACTATTTGCTTCTGTAAAAACGTAATTTAATTTCTAACGAAAATCGAAATGTCCCTTTCTCGACGGTGGTAAAATATTACCTTGGGTGTCCGTTTAACAACGCGCGGAGATTTCGGAACGTTTTGTCGCGCGCAACATTCGACCGATGCATTCCGAACAATTTCAATCTCACAAAGACCCCATTGTTCTCGTTATTTCGGGAAATCTGTTTCGCGCACGGTCAACCGGGTCGAGCCGTCCCCCGCACTTCGATTCATTCGCGTGTATCGGGTCGCTCTTATTTTGAACAGTTCGCGTCACGAGTCGATGACGCGTGAAGAGGGTAGCGCGAAGGGCCGTGTGGATAAACAAACGTCCCGATCGCGAATGTAAAAACATCGTTCGAGCATTGTTCGGACACTCGCCGGGGATTATTCGAGGCGTCGTTGGTTGTAACGGGCGGTCGCGCTCGGTATCTAACGACATTTCGCAACGACCGCGCGGCCGGCTTTGTGCTCGCACCAGTTTCGATGACAAAGCGAGACTCGAATATTCCCGGCGGTGGACTGCCGTCGTTCGTCGAAAATTTTATCCGCGTCCGCGGTCCTCGACACGCCGAAAAGCGGAAGGGGAGATAACGTGGCGCGACAAAAGGCAGCGAATTCTGAAAAACGAGGCGCAAAAAGGAGGGAGGGTGGTGGGTGAGAACAGCGTTTTGTTGAGCGAGGCGGAATATCTGTCCGTTTAGGTGTTGCTACGATGAAATAGGGATAACCGGAAAGCTCGCCGCGTTCAGCGTATTGCCTAAACTCGATGAACGGAGTTGTTGCGCGCCAATTCTGAGCCCAGGGGGTAAGTAATCTTTTCACGCTTGAGAAGGACGTTGTTTCCCGTTGACATTACGAATTTTTAATAAGGTGCGATCGGTTACATAGGGCGATATCGGGCCATCGTCAGCCTCGAGTCTTTCGAGCGCCGCCGCCAGTAGAAACAGCGCGTAATGATCAGACACGGTATTTGTACATCCCATTCTCGCGATTATTCGACCATGAAACCGCTCCGCAATTGTTGGCGCGGCGTATCAACCCCAGAGACGAAATTTTCATTATCGATTCGATGCTCGGCGAACGCTTCACGCGGGTATACATATTTCACGGCAAATTGTACGCGGGTCGCGTTCGTTTGTTCGACTTGTCTCGGAACGGCGAGCGAGGAGGTTCCCTACGTAAGTTCATTGTTTAACCAACCGCTGCAGCGTACGGAGTTTGAAGCAGCCTTGAGGGAGAGATTACGGGAGATAGTCCGCTTCGCACCCTCCTCGTAAACTCGGAGCACCGGATACAGCGTGTCGGTACCATGAAATTCATGACACCGATTGTTCGGATAATAATTGATTATTGTAACGATAGCATCAGTGACGAGGATCGATCTTAAAAAGTTGACGACGGGCGGCCGCGAAGCTATGAATTATCGATTCCTCGCGAGTCAGGCACGACTGCTCTATACCACCGCCCCGTCTCGTTTTTTCCACACTCTAAAGTCAACCGTACCCGACGTACTCGATTTGGTGGCATGATCGATCGATCGTGGAGAATCTCGCGAGCTTTCGCGTGTCCCTTCGACTTTGACCGAAGAACAAGAAAAAGTAGTAGATCGCGGGATCGAAGCAAAATAACTGCGAGCGATGTCCCGCTCAGGGCTGAATTAAACCATAAGCTTCGGAGGCTACATCCCAAGGGTCTCCAAAGAGTAATTCGAAGCTATTCGATGAAACTCGAGCACAAGCGTGAAACGTCCGATGTCGAATACCATACGGTAAACAATTTACGGTTTTACTTGGAAACGTACGACTCGGTTTTCTTTAACTTTGTTTTCCTTTTGAAAATATCATCCGGGGCTTTGCGGTACCTGTAGCTCCCAGAGCTCCGTGTAATCTTAATACGGCGCTGATCGTATCCCCGCCGCCGCAAACCTCCAACGTTCTACTTTCGACGCCAATCCTGGCCAAAAGTATCAGCTATAAACGCGCCAAGTCTCGCACTAGCCCGCTAAATCATCCTCTCCGACAAGTGATGTTTTCATCGCCCCTCGTATGACAACGCTTGAACAGAGATTAATCACCCGTCGAGGAGGGTTGAGTGAGGGGCAGAATTGGACCGTTAGAATGAATTTTTTTTGCCTAAAATATGTGTCGCGCAGTATCACGTGTAAGTGTTATAAAGTTCGTTTATTGGCGGCCTCGTCCCCTCCCCTCCGCTAGCCTCGCTCGATCGTCGTTACACCGGTCGACTTTTGCGCGATAAGTCATCGCTTGACAAGTAATATTTTTATCGTTTCTGAAAGTGACATTGCTCGAAGGAAGATTAATCGTTCGACGGGTCCGGGATGCGGGTGATCGTTATCGATGGAAACACGTGGAATGTAGGGGGCGCGATGGACTCGAAATCGCGGGTCGAGAAGAGACACCGTGACCCGATTATTTCGAAAGGTATCTTAAATTAATGAAAGAACTAATATATCGTTCAGGTGTCGCTAAAGAAATCGCAAGGATACTCGCGCGGGTTCGCCAATTATTCTCAATATTGATTTTGGCGTACCCATTCGGTACGAAACTAATGAAATATTTCAAATAGAAGTACGATATTTGAAATCATTCGATTTATTGACAAATTTCCAGACAAATGCAATTGATTAAAACACAAGTTCAAAATATATATTCAAATAAAATTTATTTCCTGTTCAGAGGTTATCGTGTATCGCTTTGGTAAGCAGCGAGTAAAATATTTGATTGGAAAATATATGAAACCGTTCCGTGCAATCAAAATTTCGCAAACTAATACATTTAATTACAAACCGAAGTGGGATGTATTAACAACAAAAATCGTATATTTCCAGTAATGATAATTGTTCCGGAATTTTCTGTTTCAGGGGAATTTTACAGCAAGGCAGAAAAAATTACGATGAAGCCATTCTGAGTTACCAGCGAGCGATCCATTTCCGACCTTCGTTGGCTCGTAAGTAACGTCTCGTATATATAATAATTGCAACGTATTATTTTACGTGTTATTTAAAATAGCGAACGCGTTGAATGTGTCCTGTTTCTAATAAACCACCCCCTATACTCGTAGCGTATCCGGTGGTGTTTGCCATACACTCGGAGAAATATTTACTCCTAGCTCGCCAGTGGCCGATATATTGTTTCGAGTTAAGTCGCGGTCGAGAGTTCCCGGCTTTCGTCCGTCTACTCCCGCAACGTAAATATTATTCCTATTTATTTTGTCTCTTCCGCGGCCGTACGCTGTCCGCGATTTTTCTGATATTCTGAAAATATCAAAGCAGATTAGGCACGTATTTTCTCGAGATCTGCGAACCGTTTGCGCAACGAACACAAAGTGTCGCGACTAAACGGATAACGTTCGAATTAAACGCGTCGCTCGTTCCGTTGTACATCGTTCGCTTCTTCTCTGTATGGTACACTCGGTAAGTGTGACCATCGCGGAAACCCTGAGGATCGGTTTCTTTGCTTAACGAGCCATCTTGTGCCCAGGAGGGCGAATCGTACGGTCGTGGGTACGCGGTAAACCTCCGCGAAGGGAATAAAGCACGCGCGCAAGGGGTTGGAAAGGAACCGAAGGTCTGTCGTTTGTCACGCGGACGGTACGTACGATCCCCGTACGACGATTTACTCGGGCCGTCCTGGGAACGGTTCATTATCGAACAAATGCTCGGTCGTGTTGCGATATTGATCTTATTTTCCGTTTTCCACTTGCCTCGCGTATTTATTTTTCTATCTGGATCTCGAGCAACCGGCTCGATGGTCACCGTTTTACGAGCGCTCGTATCGAATTCACTGAGACGAATGTTCGCCGCTCTTTCTTTATTTTCAGTAGCCGCGCTACGGAACAAATCCCGATCGGATGTTGTCCAACACGTCTACGTTCAGGTTAAATTCCAACGATAAAAAATAATCCAGAGCAAAACACTCTCAACACCGCTGGAGATCAGAGGTGTAATCTACGATCCATTAATAAGCATACGATACCGTCTGCTGGACAACTCGGTAACTAGACGCAACGGAGATACAAAACGTCGCGACAAAACGCGAGGGAATTTCGATAAGCGGATAAAACCGGAGCTCGGCGGACCGGGTTCGGGTAATCGGTACAGGGTGAAAGATTGGATCTTACGGAATGAACGCATTCCGTTGCGTTGGTATTCTTGGCCAGTCGCGGTTGCTTTATATGCACGGACTGGTCCGCTTATGGATGCAAATGCGTTCCGAGAGCAAAAGCGTGGACAGCGAAATGCTCTCGCCTAGCCGTGGCCGGCTTTCCGCACGGGCCGAGCATATTTCCCTCGACGGAATTGCGTTATAATTGTTCCGTGGTAAATTTGCCGTGTAAACAGCATTGATAAAGCGGCTTTCCCGCGGCGTAAGAATAATGCACGAGCGACGTATGACTCGCGCCGTGACTTCGCTTAAAAATACTCGTTTGCAGCGCAAACGCACCGGACGTTTTAACGAGCTTCCTGCGACGATATATTCCCTAAACGTCTTAAACGGAAATCGTGGGAGGATGCACGAATCACGACGCGGTTCCGGTGAGTTAAGAAATGTCCTTTTTAAATGCTTTGAAACGAAAATTATCGTTCGCAATGGACGGTGTTCAGATTCAAAACTACAAACAACTCTGAATACAAACTTTCCGTTCGCAGCGTTCGCGAACAGATCCGTTCAAGAACGGAACACACGTGTAGCCGCAACCACACGGAAACGGATCACACGGACTCACGAAATTCGCTTAAACTGTGGTACGCGCGTCGGAACAACCGTCGGAGAGTCAATCAGAGACCGAGTCGCTGGAGGAGAGTTTGCCAGAGATTAAGGGAGTCACCGACTGAGAGAGTTAAAGAGTTTACAAGCGACCGAGACTCTAGAAGTTATGTTTTAGCGTATTTTAGTAAGTTGTTAAACGAATTTCCAGTTGCCGACGAGAGAGAGAGAGATCTCGTTTTATTCAATCCGTCCGTCCGCTACATTTCCACCATAATCACGCTTGACACGCTGCGGATATATTGCGATCTAATTGTAAGAGAACTTTAATATTTGTAACGATATCGTAATTTTTAATTCGTTTACGTTCGTCGAACTCTAAATAACCCGAGGCCCGTGAGTAATATTCTTATTCCACGGAGAACCTCAAACCCGAAGAGTTTTGTTTCGCCTCTTTGTAATCCGGACGACCTGTTACGTTACAATCGCAAGCATCCCGCGAGCTGAAAAACAAAATTATCCCGATCGATCGCATGGAAAATAAAAAATAGGACAACGATGCGCGGAGTGGATGGGCGGAGATAAATGGACGTGGATCGGCGAGCTTTTCGCGGAACAATCGGACGGGCGTGATATATAAAGCGCGCCTACAGGATGTGTATTAAAAGTTTCGCCAGGTTTATGAAAGGCGTCCGGGAACGTAATTTAACCGATCTCTTCCGTTCCGAGGGCTTTGGTCGTGTAATTTTATCGCCATCGTAAAACTCCCTGCGCGAATCCCGCTCGTTGGACGATATGGAAACTTGGCGTTTTAAGCTGTACCGTGCAAAGAGACATCGGTAAACTTCGTTACCAGCCCCGCTTCTATCGATGCTATCGGCGTTTCGCCTTTGTTTTTCTCCCTTTCTATTCTTTCTCTTTTTTTTTTTACGGTAGCTTTTCCCTTTTATTTCGGCACGCTTTGTTCCCTTCGCGAGACATTCGAATAGAGGATACCTCTAATTCGACGTTAAAAAGGTTCGCGGGACGATGGCAAATTAATTTAGCTTCGAATGGACAAATTCATTTCGTAATAAAATGGCACGACATTCCTCTGTTAATATCAGAAACAACATTTAAAAAAATAATGCCTTGTCATTCGTTGTGTCCATTGTTGATCGCCATCAAAAAAGGGATATATTAAAAATTGCTACATTCTCTCCGAGCAATAGTGATTCCATATTTATTGTCTGCAGCGCTTTTGAATTCCCTGGTGTGTCTCGCCGTCGTTAAAATAAAATAGGAATATTTTTAGTAATTTACGAATCCGTTTTTCGGTTGCTCGGGATGATTACAAGCCTTAAAACTAGCTCCGACAAAGGTTCTCTCGAGGCGAATGCAAACTAACGAGGTCAAACGTTGCGAGCAGAAATCAGCCGCGTAAAAAGAGACCGTCCAGGTGTCGAATTACGATTCACGGTTCTATCGGGACCGCGGAACAAGGTAAAACAAAGGGAAAAATGCGGAGAACGTAACCTCGGCGGAGCTTTCATCCGATGGAGATGAGTCAAGCATTGACCTTTTCCGTGTTCTAACGCGAACGAAAGTAGACCCGGGAGACCAATGAAACGAGTGGCCCTTTCAGCTACCTTTAATTATAATCCGGGCTTTAAATTGCTCGCGAGAAGTGGAACGACTTTCGATTGTTAGTCGGTCGCCGAAGTAAGAGAGAGCGAGCGAAACGGCGTCGGGGAAGAAGAGGAGTGACGAGAAAAGAAAGAAAGGAAACGACGTCGAGGGCCCTTTGTAGCAATTTTCGCGCCTTCTGCACGGAAAAATTCGAAGCGGAAAAAGAAAAAGTCTTTCTGCCCGGAGGAACTTTTCCCGTAGCGGGGCGCCACAATTAAACCGACTCGCGCGCGTTGAAATCGTTACGCGCGCGTTGAAGCCAGCTTAACCGTGAAGCCGGAGCCACGTAACCGGCTAATGTGGCTCGAGCACTTTCATCGATAATCACCACCCCGGTGACAAACGCTCCAAGTGGCCGCCAAGTGTTTGGAGTAAAAACGCGCGAACGTCGAGTTAACGCGCAAGTATTATTAATAAAGACTAGCCTCGAGAGATCGGTCTTCCAACGCTCGCGGCCTCTCGCTTTTATCGGAACAGCTGCGACACGGTACCTCAAAGAGTTATAATTCGAATTATATTTACCTACTCGTTAGCAATCCACGACGATGCTGGTACACGTGCAATTAAATACGAGACAAGAAATTGCCTTTAACGGAACGAGAAAACGTATCCAACCGACCAAAGCGAATCTTACCCGTTATAAGGCGGACCCTGATGGAACTCTGATCCGTCCGTCGTTCGTCGCAATCGGTCCGACGAACGGGTTCCCGACGTTCGAGCTCGATGTCGAAAGAACGAGAAGCGTTTTGAAGGAGGGCAAAGTTTGCCGGAGGTTTGGTCGACGTTAGGGGTAAAAAAATAACAGTCGAAGCACTTGGTCGTCAACGGTCCCTTTGAACCGCGATGTCTCGCAGGAAACGCCTCCGGGCCGGAGACTTACTGCGACAGAAACTTTCCAGACTACCTCGTTCGCCTGCGTACGTAAAACGCCTTGCGCGATACACAAGTGACTCAATTAAAGCAACCAACTTCCAACGGGAAGCGGAGAGAACCGACGAACAAACAGACGTGTCGGCGAGCACTCGGCGAGCGTATACCCGCCGTCTCGTGTCTGTACACAGCCGACGGCTGGCTGAGCGAACCAAGAACGGGGCTTGGGAACTTTACTACGCTCTCGGTTCTTCGCGATCTTACCGAACAACGACGATTAAATTCACCAACTTCAGCTTTGAGAGGTCATCGGCACCCAGTACTCAAAGTGGGGCACCGCCCGTGCACGCTCGAACGGGATTTAAGTAACTCGAAGTAACTTTACTTTACTTTGCCCCTCTATTTACAGGACACTGATAGCCTCTTCTACTCGTTATTTAGACACGCGAGTTTGGATGTATTCGTCAGTTACACGTAGAATTATTCGCGTTTGAAACGAGGGACCGATAAAATATTAACAAATATCGGAAAACGATTTTCAGGTTAGCATGGAAATTTTACAAAGCTCGGCACGAACTACCACTAATTCTTCGCAATATAAAATTTAGACACGGAATTCAATGCAGAAACATTCGTTCCTAACTAGATTAATCGTGACGGGCACGGTTTCTAACCACTACGAGCATTCGAAGTAGCGCATCT